CTGCCCCCGGCTTAACACCCAGCCTTCTCTGGGTGCCCCTGCAGGGAGCAGCCAACAGCAGGCTCCTAGGGAGGTGGGTGGGTGTACATGGCAGCCCTGGTACAGCCCAGGCCAGAGGTGGTGTCCAGGGGTTTTAAGAGCTACCAAGAGCCTTCCCAGATGTATCCAGGCTCCACCTAAACCCACAGAGACCATCACCCACCCTGGCGAACCTGCAGCAGGGGGTTCTGCAGGTTAACCCCATGCTAAGGGGGGAAATCACTTCCCTTAGTCTGCCCCTGCCACTGCCTAGTGTCACTTGGTGCCACTTCTGCTGGCATTGAGAGATGATGAACGACTTAAACCCCCCTTGGCCTCTGCTCTTGCAAGGCTTTCCCCCTAACCTGGTCCAGAGGGCCCCACATGCCCTCCCACCACCACCTGTCCCAGCCACGTCCCAAGCGGTGACACTCACAGGCTGAAGAAGAGCTTCTCGTTGATGCCTGACACGCACGAAGCCATGGCCAGCATGAGGATGGTGGAGCCAAAGAAAACGTGGACAGGCTTGTAGAGGGCGCGGAGCCAGGCAGGGGGCCAGGGCAGCAGGAAGGAGGGGAAGACGGCGAGCCACTGTAAAAAAAAAGGGCTGAGTGCAGGTGGCACGGGAGCCAGGGCACGGGGAGCTGGCGTGGCACCCACCTGGCAGGAGAAGAGCAGCACGGTGGCCAGCCCCAGCCAGCTGTGAAGCGAGTACATGTTGGGTGTCCCGCGGGCGTTGTGGAAGTTGAAGACGGCCACCAGCCCCAGGACGGTGAGGCCAAAGGCCACCAGGGCCAGAGCGCTGTGCAGCACCTTCCAGGGGAGCTTGGGGCCACTCCAGGAGAGGGGCAGGCGGTACACCAGGGCCACTGCGGGCGCAAGAGGTCAGGTGGGGCCAGCGGGGGCCGCGGCCTGGCCCTGCCCACGCCAACCTGCTCACCTGCGCCGTACAGCACCACCATGCCTGTCACCATCAGCACGGGGTGCCAGTTAAACATCTGAGCACTGCCATCCCAGGCGAAGCCGCCGCGCCACTGCTGGCACCAGGCGCTGACAAAGGCCACGCACACGACCCCCAGGGCACCAAGCAGGGCGCAGAAGGGCAGGAAGGGCAGCTCCACCATCTCTGCTCCGGGGCGACGGCACCTGTGGAGAGCACGGCACCCACTGAGCCTCCGCTGGGGCTGTGCCCCCGCGCTGGCTTTCTCCTGCTGATAGGCACCCACCGGGGAGGAGCCAGACCGAAAGAGGAACTGGCTGCTCTAGTGCTGTTCCCAGAGAGGAGGCTGCGAAGAAGGGGTGGCGACGAGCCCCACCGCTGACCAGGCTGGGGGACGATGCCAGGGATCCGAAGCTGTTCAGCTGGGGACGAGCCCAGAGTGACACCTGCTCTCGCAGAGCCAGGACCGCCAGGCAGCGCTCTGCCATGCCGCACTGACGTGCAGCCCAGCAGCTCAGTGGCCAGGGCCTCACTAGGGCAGCAGGGCATCCGGGTCCCTCCTGCAACCCCAGCGCTTCCCTCTATGCCCTCTATGGCACCCACAGCAGCACCCTGCGGCATCTGCGCCCTGGCTCCCCTTCCATCCCTTTCACATGTGCCCGTGCTCCCCTGGCCCCCGCACCTGCTGCACCCACCTGCACTCTGTCAGCCCCATGCGCTTGCGCCCCACTTCCAACACC